CCGTGCCTACACGCACAGTTAACCTAAGGCCATCGACAAACTGTTTTCCCAGTCACTGAGTCTGTGCGATAGGCGTATCACTCACGTGACATTTCAAACCTTATACAAACAAAGCATTCCCAACTTGTGATCCACCCGGATGGGAGTCCGTCCAGCTCATTCCCTCATGCACGCAATACGCCAGCGCACATCAGATTTGAACGCCTGCATGCATGATTCCCCTACCGGGGGGATACACGTGAGAAAAATCTCAGAAATCGGAGACGACTTTGGATGCATACGGTATGTACGTACGGTACGTGCAGCAAACACTTGGAGAATACATTTGTAACACATTGTAATACAATATCCGACTGCGGTATTGATAACGTGTATTGTGCATCTCACACCAAAGTGCATACGTGGGGTTAATGTTCCTCGTTGACCAAGGGGCATGGCTACCGGTAACACCCCAAAGGGGCACTAGGCCCATTGTCAATGTACCGGGGTACATTGCTTTCCGCTCTGTATTGTAGATTCTGTAAATTACCCACCCCTGTAACTTTACCGGTGTGTTCAGCTGTACGGTACGGACGTACATGCAGTACACGGACAGTACATGTTCTGGAGAGTTCACATCGTACTCGGGTTTGTTATTGATTTGTGTTTTTGAGTGTCGAGCAGTTTGTATAGCAATCTCGCCCCTCCTTTCCCAAATCAGCCCCACCCAAGGAGTGGACAACAAAATCAATGAGATTGGGGAAAAACAAGTGGTCCTGAGAAATTGACATGTAATTGGCAAATTCATTGAAAATGTACATGTACACAATGCTCTGTAGTTTAGAGAATTATTGAATGTACATGTACATGTGCAGGAAACATACCAGTAGGCCTATACATACGTGTACGTGTACAATGTACATGTTCATGATGGACATGTACTGTACATGTACATGTTTACACTTGATACTGCTTACTGGTGCCATGTTGCTTGAGTGGTTTACATGTACATGTAAATACCAGTACATGTACATATGTACAGGATGTTTGTGTTTTACATACATGTACATGTACATGACACCAAATATAAATTTGCTGCCATTGATGTACGTGAATTTCCTGTGTGAAGTGAACTCCTGTTCAGTTACAGCTCCACCTGTTTGGGAATGAGTCAGCAGCCATTTGGTCCAGTCCGGTCCAGTTGAATTGGTTCACATTCAAACCATTCACCCTGCAACTCCCATGGCATTCTTATACATGTATGTACCTGCTCAAATTCTCCGTAAGCCTCCATGATGCGTTCGGTGTTGGCAGGCGCATTCTAAAACTTTCCAGGGTGTCAACTCCACGTACCGGGTACAACTGAACAATGACAGGGTAATTGTCTTTGGTAAATGCTGCAGTATTTTCAGATCCCACAGAAGTCCTCCCAATCCAAACTCCTTTTTCACACGATGTCATCAGCTGACTATTGTTGGAAAACTATCCCTTTTTTTTTTTTAAACTAATGACAGCTTTCGAGGCACAGCTTGGCTGCTGCTGTTATAGTTCATGCATTTTTAATGGACTTTTCAAGTGAGATGTTTCATTATTATAATTATTCGCATTCCCGATTTGCGTACCTCTGAAAATCATATCTACTGCCAGCATCATTGAAAGATGACGCTTAAATGTACATGTACATGTACCCACAGAACACATCTACATGTTTTGTGTTCATGTGCAACATTGTTCCTGGTTGGTTGCATTACATGCATGGCGTACATCAATTTTAGGCACGCCTCTCCCCAATGCTTGACAATATTCCAATCCAATTGCCTACAGTGAGCGGTTGCTGTAGGCCTTCGTGTACCATGTATCCCATAACAGTAATTTAATCTCCATAGAGACGCAACTCATCTAATATTTTATGCAAAAATGCATTCCTGATTGTATTTGTGGAAGTGCTCAGGTACATATGCACTGTACCTGTGCACAGGTACTGTGCTTGAGGTACTGTTTGTCAAGGCTTCCAACCTTCACCCTCCAAAAAAGCTGAGGGAGTGTACTTGTGTATGTACGTGATTGTATAGGGGTAATTCCAAAAATCAGGGGTCCAAAAGGGTGACATTTTTGTGTTCCTGTTACATCTGACCTTTGTTATTTCACATCGAAATATCACCGGAATTGATTTCAAACTATTACTATTTGTTTGGCCGGTAATTTGCATCGATTCATCACTCTTGGAAATTAGAAATTATGAATTTATGAAATGAATGAATGTACAAAATCATATGTCAGATGTGACGGGGACACGAAAATAAAATGGACCCCTAATTTCTGGAACTGCCCACAGAGGTTATGCATTGTTTGCATCTCCATGGAGTCTCAGAGGCAGGTTTTTGTTATTTTAATTCAGTTACGGTACAGCGAATGCAAAAAAGGTTTATTCAAGCCAATCCTAGGATACCAGACTATTGCCCTCTGAGGATGCTTAATGCATAGCCTCTATGTACAAGGTACAGTAAGCCTTTGGCGAATTAACTTTGACCCAAATCTGGTACAGCGAGTGCTTTAAATTCACGCGAACATAACTACTTGAAGTCTCCTCACTAAAACCACTGTTGCTACCTGCATACCTCGTGATTCGGGGCAAGCTTTTGCTTAGTTACATAAGAGACGCCTTGCAACAATACACTGTTGTCAATGGATAAGAAGGGCACAAAGGAACCAGTCCATTCCAGAGATGGTGGTCACTATGCGAAAGCTTGCCTCGAATCACGAGGTACAGAATAGCAACAGTGTCTTTAGTCTGGGGAATTTAAATCATAATATTTTGTGTAGTCAGATAACTCAGTGCACCAGATTTTATTCACATTTAACTCTCAAATGGCTTATTCACATGTTCATCGATACTTTTCATATTTATACACCTGCTGTCATTGGTTGGTTTGAATTGTGATTTGTTGCTTGTTAAGTTAATCATTTTCTAGGGCTGTTTTCTGACGAAAAGGATCCTGCCAGTGATGATATTTTGATACCGTAATGCCCTTGGCCAATTCAGGGAGGGGGAGGGGTCAGTGGTAGCCACACCTTCCCGGCTTCCCTGAGTACGATATTGTCGTTCCCTTCCAAAAGTCTGTGAAAAGCTCCCACATTTACGTGTAGCCTCACCCCATGATAGACCATAAAAGGCGACGCAAAGACATCTCGAAATTAATTTTGTCCCCCCCCCTGCCCGCTCCCGAGGAAATTTGGTTCTGGAATCAACCTTCATGATGCCCGAATCATTGTTCATTAGCCATGTATGCATGGAAACACCAACAAAAAGCCTTCTTTTTTTTTTCAAATTAATCCTGGCACACCACATGTCACTACCCATGCATCACGTCGTCGGGATCAAATTGCTCAGTCTGAAATTGTAAAGGAGCCAGACCAGAGGATAGACAAGGGTTGGACTTAATGAGACTTAATTAGCCCCCGAGGGCTTGGATGAGGATGGTGTCGGTCCAGTGATGAGTAACAGACAGCTGGATTTGCAGGCAAGCCAGGGCCAAGAACCAAAAAAAAAAATTTGTGCATGTGCAAAGTTGTGCATTTACAATAATAAAATGTGCAGTGTTCTTTGAGTGAACTCATGCAGTGTTACAAGCCTCAACATTTCTGAGTGACAAATCAATGAAAACTGAACTACATGCAAATAGACTAACTTCCACTTCATGAACATTTAGTAACCACTTAAAAATGGTTAATGATCAATCAAACAGGGGCCAATTTCATAGAGCTGCTTAAGCACAAAATTTGCTTTGGCGGGAGCAAACTTTGCTTAATAAACAAAGGTTACCAGCTCAAACTCTATCTGATTGTCATGCTAACAAAAAAAAAAACAGCTAAATACAATCTCAAAACAATGTACATCTCATGGAGTTTTGGCTGGTAACCTGATTTGTCAAGCAAGGTTTTTTCCCACATAAGCAAATTTTGTGCTTATTTAAGCTGCTCCATGAAATTGGCCCCAGATTGTGTAAAGAAATTAACCAGCATGTTATTAAATGTACCCTGGGTATGTTCACATACCGTAGTGCTACACGCGTACAACATTAAAACAAAACATGGAGTAAAATACTTGGTATGCACCAGAAGTTCACATATAAATTTTTATCACTAGAGATTAGAGAAAGTAGTGTATACATGTACATGTACATGTACATTGTACCTCCCTGCGTGGAAATTGTTCAGGTTTGAACACCATAAACACATGCATGTGTATTTTTTTTTCAATCCCTCTGCATCTCAGGTTCAAGGCCTACATGGCACAGCTGTGTAAATGTGGTTGTCACTGGTTCTCTGTAGTGTAATCTGATTATCAGGGAAAGCACGGGGGGGGGCCTTGAACTGGTCCTCTGTTGTCGGGTCCCCGGGCCGATTTGTGCCACATTTTTTGGTAATACTCTGACAAGATGCGCCTCAGGTGGAAAAATGCTGGGAATTCTTGTATGCAGGTGCTGGACGTGCCAGAGAATGAAACGGCCTGGTGCACTCTTTTGGGGGGTTACATGTACATGGTACATGTACTGATATTTTTCAATGGAATTTTAGTTAAAATAGTGGAATGTCCAATATAAGCTGGTGGGGTAATGTGTCCAAGAATGATGATAATGGGCAATGTACAATGCGTGCACCTCCCCGAGAGGTTGCCATGGAGAGGCCATTCTTCGTAGTGCATAATGGGAAATGGTCGACAAAGTCGACTCACGGGCTGTGAGTGGAGATCTTGAATTATTCCTGTCGCTTGTTTGGCGGGGAAGAAGACTTGTGAGTGTATTTTGAGTTGTTGGAATGTCCCAATCAATCAAAAAATTCCCCAAGTTGTCCATCCTGGGTACACCGAAATGCTTATCACGGCAAGGTGGCCATGTTTTTGTCGGCTACAACATGAAAAATGGCCTTTAACTTGCAACCTCTTGGTGGCAGGCTGTAATCGCCCGTACAGCGTCTCCGGCCAAGTGTTTCTTAGTCTGTACTTTTGTTTTAATACACAGAATGTTGGACAGATTGCTGGTTGTCTGCCCAAACACCAGCTACTGCAGCGCCACCATGCCCAGGTGCGAGCTGGAGCCCCACCTGACCAGCCGTTGCCCCGGCAATGCGGCACACTGTGTCAACGAGTCCCAGGGATGTACGTGGCATGGTCCCGCCGAGGCCAAGGAGACGCACGTGTGGGAGTGCCCCTACCGAACCAGGCCAGGTGAAAAAGAAAGATGACCGTGGTCCTTCGTCGTTCTGGCATTTAACTCATTTGTGACGGAGTTCAGGTTTCGTGGATGCAAATTATGCGTGTACTAAAGACTAACTTTGCTCAAATAACTAGGTCCTAGAATTTTTTTTTTAAAAAGTAGCCAATCCGAAGCTGTAAAGAGTAAGCTTAAAGAGAAAGACCTTTTCAGTGTCAGATTTCCAAATTTAGGGCAACCCATTTTGTTGTCATCATCCTTGAGGTCTGTGTTGTTACGGTAAGTGGTCATTTTTTTCCCTTGCATGTGCTCTAGTCCCAGAAGGAGTCCCGATAAAGGATGGCACCCTGACCACGATAGAGCTGACCAGAAGGAGAGATGAAGATTTGGGCATTAGCATCGTCGGAGGGAATGAAACACCTCTGGTGAGTAACAGTGAGAGCAGGGTTGAAAGGCAAGATGCCACCTGGCAGTATTGTAGTCTCCCCGCTCGTACCCGAGCTTCCTATGATCTGGGCCCCGGTTTCATAGCTCTGCCAACCAGATTTCCAAAAGGAATTCCGTGGATCTGTGGATCTGCAATTTCCTGCCGAATTAATTTATTATCCATGGGCACTTTCAAGAATAGGTCATGTTTTGTGCTCATTCAACTGAAAATGTACGATCCACACCACAAGCATGCTTTGATCTAGCATGCAGGTGGAGAGCGTCCCTTCTGGGTGCCGCAGGAATAGGTTTTGTAAAATAATATACATTTCCTGTACCGTGTTGAATAGATCTGCTATGACTGCCTCTGTTTCCTCCTCAGATTGGTATCATCGTCCAAGAAGTTACGGACGGAGGAGTCATCGCCAAAGATGGGAGAGTAGCAGCGGGAGATCAGATTGTACAGGTGGGTACACGTACCTGTACCTCCTTGATATGAGGAAGGAATCGTGTATGTATAAAGCCATATATTCACCTGTCCACCGAGTGTTTCACTGTTGTTACTCCTTGCTCACCGGGCCTATAAACATTCCTGAGTCCATCTCAGCTCCCTCAGGAGTATTGTGCTGCCCTTTCAGGCACAAATATCTCGGCCCTCTCAGATATCCATTATACCCCGGGGGGGGGCGAGAAGGGGTAAAGTGGCTTGCTTGAAGTTGCCGCTTGTGTAGCCAGATGCTGGATTCGAACCCCGGACCCCGTGATCGAGGGTTACAAACCTTAACCACAAGGCTGTGCACTCCCGCTCTCAAAACCCACACCGGAACGGTGTGGAAATGTCGCGGCCAGACTTTATAACCCCCACCTGCTCTTTGACCCTCTGCTTCAGGTCAACGACATTGATCTGAAGGACGTCAGTCACCAGATGGCTCGCATGGCCCTGCACCGCTGCCGGTCGCCGATCTGCCTGACGGTGTACCGGGAGAAAGCGGAGAACGCCGGACAGGTGGAGAGCCTCAAGATCAACCTGAACAAAGTGCCCGGGGTCCCTCTGGGCATCAAAATTGCGGCCAGGAGGTAAGACGAGATGCCCCAACTTGTAGGCTGCCTTTACTGCTGATAGCGTAGCTAGATCAGAGAAGATTGAAATTGTTGGGTGTTTGTCCCCTTAGCGCAGGACCAGCAGTCATACTAGCCCCTTGGGTGTAGGGACTACGCAAATGTTGAATGAGAGTTATCTTGGGGATAGATTTGTTGGGGATTTTGTCCCCGTAACTTGGACCTGAATTCCAAACAAGAGACTAGTCCCTTCAGAGCAGGGCCGGCTAGGGCACATATTTATACTCATTTGGCACTGGCCATGAGTTCACAAGACCAGTTCCTGTTGCAATGAGTGGTCATTGCATGGGCGCCGGGTGCCAGTTTCTGTTTGAGTGAGTGGTTGTTTCGTGGGTGCCGGGCACCAGTTTCTGTTGGAATGAGTGGTCATTCCATGGGTGCCAGGTGCAAGTTTCTGTTTGAATGATTGGTTGTTGCGTGGGTGCCGGGCACCAGTTTCTGTTGGAATGAATGGTCATTCCATGGGCGCCAGGCGCAAGTTTCTGTTTGAATGATTGGTTGTTGCGTGGGTGCCGGGCACCAGTTTCTGTTTGAATGAGTGGTTGTTGCGTGGGCGCCGGGTACCAGTTTCTGTTTGAATGAGTGGTTGTTGCGTGGGCGCCGGGTACCAGTTTCTGTTTGAATGAGTGGTTGTTGCGTGGGCGCCGGGCACCAGTTGAAACTGTCCCCGCCAGACCCTCTCTTCTTTCCAGTGAGGAGGTTTTACCACTCCCCGTAAATACAGCATTTGTGTTCCTCTTTTAATTTTCCTTGCATCTTTTTTTTACCCCTTGCAGGAATGACTCCGGCGTGTACGTCGTGGAAGTGGTAAGAAATGTCTCTTTTCTTACACCCCACTCTGGCAGCGCATTTCACCATGGATAATGTCTTGAGAATCGTCCCGAATACTTGTGATAGGTCTCTTTGGCACACGTGGGCAAAGAAAATCCTATGGGTCTGCACGTCGTGTTTACTCGCTCACGGTGCGCAACTCACTCCACGTGTACGCATAAATTCATAGGGTCCTCTGTGTGGGCGCTGTGCACTCAGTGGTAGTGTTATTCACATGTCGACCCAGCCTTTCTTTTGTCTGCCAGCAAGGGAGCTCTTATTCGCAGAACTTACAAGTAGCCTGTCATCACACTGCCACGCTTTGGCCTGTACTACACCAGCAGAGAATGTGCTGAGAAGCGTGTTGCATTTTAAACTGATGTTTAAACTTTAAGCGTTGCCTTATGTTCTGAACTTTGATATTGCTTAATATGCAGCTGGAAGACAGCGTTGCCTGGAGGGACCGACGCCTCAAGCCAGATGACCGGGTCATTGAGGTGAATGGGCAGGACCTGCGGCAGGCCACACCCGACAGGGCTGCCCAGTGTATTAAGGTCAGTATTAAAGATAATGACCATTGTGGGCCGCACACTGATGGCTGTGTTTACACGTTTCTCTTGAGGATTTTTTGTAACTGCGAGTCAGTGAATTTGGTAATGAAACCAAAGATTCCTCCAAAGCACTCTAGACACTGAGCTCGCAAGCCAGAAGAAACCTGTAGAGAGGAGACATTGAGAAGCAGTTACAGTTTTAGAGGTTGGAGGAAAACCCCAGAGGAATATTCTGGATAAAAACCCCAGGTGCCAGTGTGGTAGAGTGTTATCCAATCCACATAACGACTGAGCTGGGAATCGAACCAGTGCCACAGAGGTGAAAGGCGAGGAAAGAACCCGAAATAGTTTGAAACGTGATGGATTTGCAATCGACCCAACTGAAACACCTGAGATGGGAAAAGAGCATTTCAACAGCCCAGGTGTTGGATATGGAATCTAAACGGTGTTGAGGTGCTTTCTTCCAGGATGCTGGGGACAGAATACGCCTGGTGGTCGTCCGCATTTCAAGATCTTCCCCTGAGGCCCAGGAGTTGGAGGCCCTCCACGTCCAAGACTTCCTGAATGACTTCCCCTCGGAGGCCATCCCTGTCTCAAGGGAAGCAGCCGCTCTCCGGACACGGCAGGAGAAGATCATCAGCATCAAAAAGGTATTGGAAATATGAGCAAGTCAAGTACTTTACTAGTACTTGACAAAAGTTGAGCACTTTGTTATAGTACTTGACATATGTCAAGTGCTTTACTACTACTTGACAAGTACTTATAGCTGCTTATTTCCTTAACATACATGTACCATCACAGTTACTCCAGTTTTAATGTCGGTCGCATACAATTGGGACATGACCTGTGGCTAAGATATTCCTTTGTTCCTGTACTCATATTGACCATCAAAAGCACTTTTGACGATTTTTTTAACATCTAGTGAAAAAAACCTGTGAAGTTCTTAAAGTTTTACTACAGCACCAGTACTTTTAAGTGCATGTGCAAATAACCTCCTAAAACTCGTTTGTTAGAAAATTTAGAGAGTATGAATTCTTAAATTTATCTAAAAACTTGCCTTGGGTCATTTATCATCCAATACCCATGTTCTCCAGCTCAGTTCACTCCTAACCAGTTCAACAAAGGACCTCAAACGTGGTATTTCAACATGGCTACAGTTTGGCAACAGGCCAAATGATGATGTTATACTTTGTTTGCATGTTCACTTTCCTATGGCGCCAGTGAGGGCCCATCGTCCACCACAGGAAAGCAAACATGTAAACAAAGTGTGGTCTCGTCGATACAGGGGTCTACCCTAACAGTCCTCAGTCCTCCAACAGGTGAAGGATTGAGGACTGCGAGGGTAATGTATTCAAGGTTATGCACATTGCTGAGAATGTTACATTTGACAAAGATGACCCAGAGGCAGTTGTGGTGTCACATTGTGATTCTCATTCGACCCCTGACCTTTGACCTTTAACAGGGTAGCAAAGAGAGCCTGGGCATCAGCGTCAGCGGAGGTCGCGGGGGACCGCGGGGGGACGTCCCTGTCTTTGTCACTAACGTCCAAGCCGACGGCTGCGTGGGGAGACAGGGCCAACTCAAGGTGAAATTTTTAAAAAAATTAGGCTTGGGTTGGTCTGATGAACCCAGTGTCACAGAGTGACAAGCAAGAAAAGCTGGCTTCATTCAAAGTGCCATCCTAAAACCAGTTACAAGAAATGCACGGTATTTTAGTTTTTAGTTCTTGGTCATGTGGAATATAAGCCTGATCTTTTCAGTGAGTTTGTAAACTGCACACCTGATATGCATCTCAAACTACCTTTCCTTTTGGACTAAATACCTCACAACCAGGCTGAAATACGTGATTATGATCTCAACAATTCCCCTCTCCCATCTTGATAATTATAAGTGAAAGTGATCCAAAGTAAAAATGTTGTTGTCGGAAAGCTTTGGAAGTTACAGGCAACGAAAAATTGTGGAATTTGAATGTGTCCTTGTACATTGTGTAATTTTCTAGATAGCAGATTAGTTGAACGAGTATGGAGTTTGGTAGACCCATTCTGTGGAATGTATTTAATGCCCACTCACAATATGGCATTGGTGCATGTAATTGATAAAAAAAATATTCAAATACCAGTAGTGAAAGGTCGACAAAGTCCACCAGTAATTTTGTATGTCATTTGTCTTCAGAAGGGAGACATAATCCTGACGGTCAACGGAACCAGTCTGTGGAACCTGTCCCACACTGACGCAGTCAGCGTCCTGAAGGCCAACGCCAACTCCAAAGCAATCGTGCTGAAGGTGCTGGAGGGAGACAGGGCACTAGATGGCTCCACTCGGTACTCCCCGTCATGGCTGACCTGGTTAACTCTTCCTCAGTGAGTAGACTCCTCAAACCGTGGACTTGAGTGTGTGTGAAGACTTGCATGTGTTAGAGGACTTGTGCTTATCAGAGGACTTGTATCTGTGTATGAGGACATTGCTTAATGCCCAATGCATGCACTTTCATTTCTGCCATAATCAGGAGACTTTGGATCAGTCATTCTCGCACTAAAATTTAAAGTCATACCAAAAAGTATTGGCCACAGCCAACCGTCACACATATAGCCACGGAGGTCACTGGCTAGCGGCTGGCACATCTTCACATAGACAGCTGTGGTAAAGCTAGCCATAGCCATGAAAGACATACACAGCCTCAACACATGGAACGCTTTGGTGGCTGGCCTAGTCTTAGGTCTAATGTCCTGTTTTTCCCGCCTTTCCCGCCTCCAGGTTTTGCCAAGTCCAGAGCAAAGTCACCCTGGACAAGGAGTCCTCCCCGAGCCTGGGTTTCAGCGTGGTGGGAGGCTGTGACTGTACCCACGGCAACCAGCCCATCTTTGTCAAGACGCTGGTCCCCAACGGCGCGGCCGGACGCAGCGGACAGCTCAAGTATGTCCCTCCGCGACCTTTTCTTCACACCAGAGTTTTAAGCCCTTGTTATAGTTGAGTCCTTGTCCAAATTTAAAGCATTCGTAACCAAGAGGTTCTAATGTGAAGTTCTAGTTTCAAAGAAAATCAACTCCTCTGTGAACTTGATCCGAGCACCTTTGACGTGCCCTTGTGGGGCCGACAGTGGTCATTGGTGGTATTCAGCTCACAAGCTGAAGTTCATGCACGTTTGGCACAGGCAGTGCTGAGCCCAGGGGACTGACTTCTGGTCTGATATGTGGTGTCCGTGGGCGAGCCCGGTTGGAAAACTTCCCACCAGTCAGTGTCCTCTGTACCTTTGAAGGATTGCTTAAAATCAGGGTGGATATATCTAGCCATGAACGTAACTGGCAGGTATACATTGGCGGTGTTGCAACCCCTTTCAGGTTCTTTTAGGTGCTTTTTATCATCCACAAATGACCCTCTCTGCCCTCATAGGTGCCCCATTGATACTCCTGTAAAATGACTTGCTCAAGGACACAACCTATGCTCAGGACAGGATTGGGACCGTGGCCCTGTGATTGGGAGTCATAAACCCTAACCACTCGGCCACGCGCCCCTCATGTGTGCATTGTTTGCACAGAACGTAACAAATCGCTGGGGTTAACGGCAGTCCTCCTTTGATAACCCGTGGCCGTTTCATTTTCTTTCCTAAGATGTGGCGACCAGATACTGATGGTGAACAGTGAGTCCCTGATCAACATCAACCACACGAGGGCAGTCTCCATCCTGAAAGCCATGCAGGGGAAGGTGCAACTGACCGTCGTGTCCTGGCCAGGCACGGCCGTCTGACCCTCGGCTCACCGCCGCACCACCTCACAGACATTTATTCTGCACAGCGATCCAAACGAATAGCTCCCTGTCACCCACTCCTTTGCACCGAGTTATTTGCACATAAGTGGTGTTGGCCCAACACGAGTGTCTACAAGGAACTTTTTCATGACCATTCTTCATCTCACCTGCTCACCTGCTTAGAACCTCGGCACAGGTTGTGTCCGAGACTTCCAAAGCCAGTCTTACATCTTTTGCCAGTACGCACCTGCCAATGTATTGCAGGCAAAGACTCAGACTTTATTCAAGATGTGTGAAATTCTGAAGCTGCCCTCAGTGACGTTTCCACGGTGACCCAAGTGAAGCCTGTATCCTCTATAGTGGTTGCGTCTTGCAGACTTTGAGATATCTGGGTTGTTAATAGGCAACCGTGCTCTGGCCGGAAAATCTGAAAATCTGAGGAGCAAACGTGGCAGCCCGAGTTGCCTAATGGACTCCATGCATGAACAAAAGAGGGCGCTTTGTATGCGGTCAACAACCAATTAGTTCCTTGGGCCAATACCACACACTTGCTAAGTGCACATGGCATAGAGATTGCACTATATCGGTGTGTGCACCTGTATGGACACACAGCTGCTAAATGGAATTCTGAGCATCAGCATGACCTTTGAAAACTTTTCTAACAGGTAGGGGGTACTTCTGCACAGAACCGTAAGCCCCGATGCTCCTTAACTTTCAATGTTTTTTAAACTCCAAGTGTCCTTTCCAAAGCGTAAAACATTCCCGCTTCAAAAAACAACATTACGATCTACACTTGTGCACCTTGGGATATGTGTACAAAATCTCGTCAACTTTTTAGTACCCAACTAACTGGCTGATTTGGGCCACGGTGAGTGGTTGAGTGACTTAGTGTCCGAGTATTTTTTTCATCCCATTGTTTATACATGCTGCCTTAACTTTTCCGTGTACCTCACCTGCTGGGCTGAACAGAGATCATATATAGAAATGGTAGTGCTTAGACACAGTACCAGAATACAGGGTCTTGGAGTAACACATATTTTTTATATGGAACTGACTTCCTTTGACAAGGTAGGTTCACGCCAGCGTCGGTTTACTTGTTGTCAGTGTTGCTGTCGAGACCTCTCAAGACCATTGTACAACCCCTAAGACAGTCACAAGGCCAACATTGGACTTCGGCCTGAATTCAAGTGGCACGTTTTTCAAATGAACTGCAATAAATGCGTTCCCTTGCCATTGTGCACCCTGTTGGTTGCGACTTGTCTCATGATGGGTCTCGTGCCTGGTTTTGTGAGTGGTCTTGTGCCTGGTCTTATGACCGGTCTTGTGACTGGTCTTTTTACTGGTCTTATGACTAGTCTTGTGACTGGTCTTGTGACTGGCATTGTGTCTGGTCATGTGACTGGCCCTATGTCTGGTCTTATGACTGGCTTGTGACTGGTCTTGTGACTGGTCTTGTGACTGGCCTTGTGTCTGGTCTTGTATCTGGTCTGTGAGGACCTCGACCACAACACTGCCGTTTTGCACCATCCATTCGCTGGAATTTTCTTGAATCCGATGTCCAGAGCAGCCTCCAGTTGCCTTCAGTTGCACATCAGGGATTATGCAGTTCTATCCCTATGTGATAACAAATTAAACACTTTTTGTACGTGTATATTAAGTATCTTTTGGCCAGGAACCATCAGGAAAGTCTTTTGTGTGGCCTACTGTTACACGCCAGCCACAGACTTTTCACATTGTGGCTCTGATAATGCAACGTGCTTCGTTTGGTTCTTTTGACACCTGATGATATTGCTTTGTCCCATCTAAATTTGCAATACTTTGGCAATGTTTATGAACGCATCTCGGTTTTGTATTTTTTTTCTGTAAATCTTGACGTAACCCGTACCTGGGAACTGTGTTTCTTTCAGCCAGCGATTCAGCTTGAACCGTTTTTCGTGTACAACTGAAAACACTAAATATCGACTGTACATAAAATACTGCGACCGACCAATTTTTTATAGACAGTTTCCTGAAAGCTGGAAATCAAAAACAAATGTATATTTATGTACATGTTGGTTGTGACCTGTGGGAGTGTACATACTTTCAAAATCATTCACACTGAACCACCTGTTGAGTTTTCTTGTGTATATTTAGATAGAATACTTTGCATATTTCAGATTTGTGACTCTATTGAGCCGTAGTTCTTTGATAAAATTTCTTTTTGTTTTAGTTATACTTTGGAGCCTGCATCACCAGCAGGTCACCCTATTAAAGTGAGAGATAAGCTCTGGCTAGCAAGAATTTTAACACACAGAGAAAATATTCACAGATTGTCGCAGTATGTTGAAAATGCGCACTAGCCGCTCATCTATTCGAGCCGAAGATGTATTGCTTTGGGAACGACATTCGTAGGTTTATGTTACCGTATAGATCATCAAAATAGAATAAACATTGTCAAATATATCCGCCGAGGACTCTTCCAAAAGAGTCTTGCGTCCAATACCAATATACTATATATTATGATATATCCATATGGGTCTCTCAATTTGTCTAAAGCAAGGTCCTTTGTCTTTTATAAGCAGCGCGAAATAATGAATTTGCATCATAAAAGGTCCAGTACTATCAGCTACGTTGTAAAATAAAGCAAGAGCGTATTTCACGTGCTGTTGGCACTGTTTGGCGCAGCAAAATGCATGTAGTGTTTGGGGCGTCTTTTTCACCTGCCGGTGTCCTGCAAATATGGACAAAAATATAATATTTAATCAGTGCTCTGAATGATGTCATCGCCGAGCTTTCGGTAACTGGGCGTCTTCGTCGGGGCAAGCAGGTTCGGTTCTAATATTGCTTCAAATATTATCCTATTTTGATAAAATATGAACAAGCCCTTAAAACGATGCTAACCCCACGGCACCCAGTATTAGCGTTAGGTTTCTTTAAATTAATTCGGCCGTATTCTTTCATTTTTCTTCCCGTCTTTGGAACTTTCATCCGATCTGCAGTTTTGATATTTAATTCCAGATCTAAGATTGTTTTATTTCATTTGATACTTTAATATCACAGTTAATGCGATATATTATTGGTACATGTGTATTAGTTGAAAACGGTGGTACCGGTGCGGAACTTTCATTTGGTTGATTTAATTTTACTAGACTCGAAATATTTATTGTTACCGTTTTGATGACCAGTACAGAACACTGTAAATAAAATCTTGTTGGCATTTCATATTCAGAAAGGTGTGTACCGTACGACTGACAGTTAGGTATTCCAACAGCACCTGACTAGAATAAAGCGCGTCAGAGGTCCACATGCAGCAAGGTTCGAGACGGAGAGAAACCCCCCCCCCTGCTTTGTGTTGGTCATTGTCTCCCAGGAATCTGGGGAATTCCTTTCAGACATCTGGGGGGGGGTTAAGTAACAATAGTCTGGAATGTGTATAGGGATTGGACATGTTGGGGGGGTACCCCTCGGTCTCATTTCTTGCTGGGTATATGTTTCGGACGGTACGCTCTGCAAGTAGTCAGGCGACTGGCTGAATGTGAAAAGGATTGGAATTCAGCGCGCCCAGGTACCTCTTCATAAAACCAATAGAACTGATGTTAATAAACCAGTGCGCCCTCAAAGATGCAAACCATAGACTGGTTCCGGATATGCGATTACGATTGACTGGGGCCCCTCTGAAATTTAGGTACGACAAAGAAAAAAAGTACTATTGAAATAGGGTAGTCGTGTTCCCGTCCCTTGTGCTGAATTAGATAGGTGTAGTCGTCTGCAGCACGTCACCAAATAGGTGGGATCGCCTAGTCCAACCGTCCCTAGATGTTAGAGGACGATCTTGATGGCGTGTGTAGAATTTGGGTCATCAGATAACCCCAAAAATCGGCTCAAGCTGTTTGTGCTCAGCGCTGGCTTGATAAGACTGATCCCGTCAGGCTTGGGTCGGAGCACCTGCTGGTACGCGGAGCCGCGGCAGTCGCCACCTGTATCGCTCTGGTCAATCTTCGCGGGCGGTGTACACGACCGAAAGTCCGGGGCCAAACCAGTCCAGGGGGATCAGAATTAATCCGGACTGATTTCCCGTGGGATCATGGTTCGCGGTCTGTTGCGGTGAATGACTTGAATGAATGAGTTTTAAGGGTGTGACGAAGTGTTCGGGTTGGCCGTACAGTGTGATACAATATGGTTCGCTCACGCGATTACTACATTCATAGAGAACGGTGTGAGTTTTAGTCCGTTAGGTCAAGCATATCCCAAAATTTAGTCTGGTAGACGGTTCAAAATGTTAGTATCATGATGGCATTACCTTGTTTTAAAGTATACACAAATAAACTGTAATAGTAAGTATTTTATTGTTCCTTAATTTAAAATTTGAAATTCCAACTAAAGCACTCGTTCACGGCCGATAGTTTTGACGGGAAGCCGACACTCAACATTCCTCTTTCTGATGCTGTTGAGACAGCATAAATCAAAATGCCTCTGGGACACTGAAATAACCGTCTCCCGTTCAGCTCAGCAAAAGTTTGCAAGTTTAATGGTCGTGTGTGCCGCGGAGGGACCTGTAACTGAAGCACCTCTCGGAGCAATCTCCGTCTTTGCCAAAAAAAAAAAAAAAAACATGTCGACGTATTCTCAGAAATCGTCCTTTACATAAATCGGACAAACTTCTCCAGGCTTGTCTGCCCCTTCTGAGAGATCTCCAAATCTCCCTTTGCGATTGCCTAAAAAGAGCGTACATTTTTGTCTGTTTGAGCCTGATGGCTTGGACGACCGAATATGAACAAACAGTCATCTCACTTTGTGTCAAGTGACGGGTTTCATCCATCAAATCGCGCTTGATCGCCTGCGTACGTGCTTTGGGCGAAAATGTGCATCCAAGATGCATTCGCCAGATTGAGATGCACGCTGCCCATAATGCGACTTGGGACGAAGACCAAAATCTCGACTTCGCCGGCAATTTATCAGCCTACATTTTTATTACGAGCGTAAAACCCTAGTCCACTTGTTTTCCATCGCGTGGACGTATCGACGACCGCTTACTGTCCAATGTTTTGGATCAAGAAACTGCTTTGGCTTACTTCGAAAATAGGCCTATTTTGACTCTTTCGCGCGTGCGCACTGTTGCATGCGTCGTCCATGAGTATAATGCATGCCACAAATTCTAGAGCGGATTCTTCAGCGTCTGACGCGTAATATCCTTTGAGTTGTGACTGTAGTTGGAGTTGTACAAAAGAGTAGTTCGGCTCTCGATTGTTTCTCTCAACAAGAAGTTGTTGAAATACGATGTACTTCCATTATGCTGAGCGCCTTATCTATATGATGCAAGATGTGCCGCAAAGGGCCCCCCATTGTGTGTTCTTTTGTGTTGTAGGAATCTTTGGAATTCTTGTCAGATTTCCGAGGGAGTGCATTGGGTACAATACCCTTAATAGGGTATACTACTTGGGCGTCACATTGGGGGCGGGGGGATCCCCTTTACCGCATATCGTGCTGGGTATCGCCTCAGGCCTCGAGTGTGAGAGATCTTGTGCCCAGAGTACGCCACTTGTGAGTTAAATTTGAATAAAATCTGGTACACTGTGTTATTTGATTGCATAGAAACGTCACAATTTGAATTCCCCAGACTAAAGACACTGTTGCTGTACTTCGTGATTCGGGGCAAGCTTTTGCATAGCGACCACCATCTCTGGAATGGACTGGTTCCTTTGTGCCCTTCTTATCCATTGAGAACAGTGTATTGTTGCAAGGCGTCTCTTATGTAACTAAGCAAAAGCTTGCCCCGAATCACGAGGTATAGCAACAGTGGCTTTAGTGTGGAGAATTCTAGTTGTGGTGTTCACGTGAATTTAAAGAAGTCAGTGTACCAGATTTTATTCAAATTTAACTCGCAAATGGCTTATTCGTGGATCTGTGTGAGAGTACACTCCTGTGGAGGGATCTCCTTCGGACAGGAGGATGAGATGATGAATATATGGGCCTTAGAATGTGGCAGGTAGAGGAATATTCTTGGACCGAACCGCTCGACTAAAAATAAACCCAGACGGAGAGGAGGGGATGCTTCAACTTCCCACCGGTGTTAACACGCAGCAAGAAGAAATGCGTTCTTTGGGAGAGTTTTAAATACTGTCGATGCTGCAGCCCTTTAAAAGGCAGTGCTGGATAAAGCAACCTCCAACAAGGGATCTGTTGAAGTATGAACTCATGGTAGGTTTCCACTTGCTTGCGGGGCAACGATATGTTCCGAGAGATCGATCAAAACCGGGAACTGCCATTGAATGCTGTTTCCGTCAGGTCCTGAACCATTTTGTACGCCATTTAGCGCCACCTCGCGTCCAAATGACCGTTTGCACATCGCCGCTTTGTCGATCACCGCGTCGTCGCCGCGGCCCCGGATATGTACAACCGCGCCGTGCCGTCCCCGCGTTGATTGATGACGAGATGCTTTAAAATGTTGCCCGCGCAGAGACGAGCAGCCCGAGTTGGCCAGGTCAGGGCAGTGATCGCGGGCGGAATTAGACGGCCGGGGCATCGGCAGCCAGTGTGCATTTCTTTTCGTCTGACTCCTACTCGTAAGGCAGCTGGCCCATCAGTTGTAGCTGAGCGAGACTCGACCTAGCTGCAGACCTCAACCAGCTCTCCCAGGCACCACTTTGGAGACGAGGCTACGATGCAAAACAGAAGTTATCACAGTCGATTCGAGCTCTCTGATCATGAGAACTGGAGTATTTGATTTTATGACGCTACTAGTGGGCAGGCAAGCTGATTGGAGAGTGCGCTTCACAAAAACTTCTTGTTCTGAGACTCCCAAAACAGCAGGTTTGTTTGAGATTTTTTTATAACTTAGTCCTCGTATCATCATCATTTGATGTTGGCATCCCTGTGCTTTTACAATGAGATACTTAGTCTCCAATCATGTACATAGCAACTAGCTCTTTTCGTTTGGTCGCGTCGATCAAGTAGAGAGAACGCGCCGATGTGCTACAAAAGCCGTTTCCATGGCGCCGACCACAGTGCAGTTTCTTACGTACGTATTGCCAAACGAATTGCTTTTTTTGTGAGATTTGCAAAAATGCCCGCAGCTTCAAATCGGAATGAATAATACACAGTGCTTGGGTTCAATGGACTTCCCCCGAGAGTTCAGCGGAGCGCCGGCATGACGGCACGGGGAGATTACGCCTCACATCGCGGACTCCCGACTTCATCACTTGCTTTGTACTTATGAGCGACATCATTCAAGGCCGTAACATGTGATCTCTTTTTTTTCCCATTACGGTACGGAGATACACCCAAGGGATTGTGATGAATGATTAGTATACACGAAGTGATCAGCGACTGGTTTCAGTTTAGTCTGGTGCAAGTGAAGCGGTCGAGATGCACGATGTCCGTCGTTGTCTTTTCCCGCTACTTTCGACAGTTTTTAAGGAGACAGAACTGTTTAGGCTTTTCTTCAAGGCGTCGTTGATTCATGTTTGGTAGGTTACAGAGAGTTTGCTGAGGTCGCACCGATATGGTAAAAGGTTATGCTGGTTAAAAGTTTTATTACTCGGACTTTCAAATCCATGATGTTATTAAAACTAATTGGGTGCTCCTGTGAAAATTTATTATAATAAAACGGCTCGCGTGATTTGAACACCGAATCAGTCGACAGGTTTATGCACGGGGAAATCATGAATTCCTTCTTTGGTGACCACTACACGCTGTGAGGAAAATGCAAGGCGCAAGTTTTGAGAGAACCTCCTTGTTCGTGTAAAAAAAAAAAAAAAAAACAGGCCCGGGAAGATTGGACCCTCACACGTCAGTCCCGCAGTCGTGCCGTGAGATGCCAGGTAAGCAATTAAGCGCGGGTTTGATTAAATGCCATCTCTTACTGTTTTCCTCTGTCTGCGTGGCTACAATGGAATTCCAATTAAGGATTAACGCGGACGTCATCGGAGCTGATAGAGTGATCAGCATATTTGGGTGTCGATTGTCCAAACAGCGACTGAGTACAACTATACATATATTGCCAGTAACATTATCGCATTAGCAGATGCACGCACCACCCCACAAGCACATCGACCCTTCGTAAAGGCTTTTCTTTCTCCGAAATGTCATTTTCTGTCACTGAGGGGAAATTTCAACTTCTGGCACCCGGGACAAGCTTTTGGAAAATTTTGACACGATGTCGCCACCGAGACGCCTTGCCACCCATGGATTCTGGTGCTCTACTTATGTAAAGTTCTGACAAGATATCTGGAAAGATAATGATATTGCCGATGCGTGCATTAATATAGTCACACTGTGGTACATGCGTTCTGACACCTGGCAAGAATATACATGCGCCCAACAACAAAGTATAGGCCCTGCCGCATCTCTGCTTTGAAGAACTCGCATCGTGGCTCGAAATGCAAGACAAAATCTTCTGTGACAGACCGCGGTCACACCTTCCATTTCTTCCGCACAATTTAACAAACCGTTTCTTGCGGATCTCGCCCGGAGGTTTTCTGCACTTGACGGAAAAGTCGAGCTGGTCGCACTCGACAGATTGAAGGTCCATTATTACTTGGCGCCTCTTCGATCGGAACGGAAGTGGCTAAGTGTTCCGGATACGTTACATGCGAGCGTCCACATCATCGCAGCGCCGTGCATACATCGGAGTGTTGGTAAAATGAAGCCCAAGAACTAAGTTTACAGATTTTGGAAAAAATGAATCAGATTTAACCAATACAATGGAGTGGTAGGCCTACATGCACAGTTCAAAAACGTATTTTTATACATTTTGTGCAGCATTGGCTAAAACTTCCAAGTACATGCAGGTAAAATTCGTTTGGAAAAAATGGAGAAAATTCATTTTTCTTGAGGAGAATTCGGACTGTGCGAAGCAAACCAGGTTCACGTCAGGGTTAGTCACCAGAGTCGGAACTATCAGCCAGAGCCGGGTCCGAAACGGGCTTCCAGGCTACGGCTGGGTCTATCTTCTGCGGGTCTACGTGTATTGTTAATGGATTGAAAACCTAGATCTAGCTATAGACAACAAATTCGGATGCAGCCTCATTCAAGCAGCACAAAACCAAACAGCGTAGCACTCCCTGTAAATTATGAGAAAGAACTCGAAACCACTTTGTTAATATTTGTGGAAACACAGCTGTAAGTATTGTATATCCAACGCTTGAACGCGATTCGATTCAGTCCCGTTTAGGAACTGAGAGCATTATGATTTTGACTAAACTGAACGGAGCAAATTATTCACAACAAATACAAGGACGGATCGAGAACGAAATTTTGAGGGGCCAAATTAAATTAGTTGGCCGAAAATGAGGAATTGTTTTCAGGTAGCCTTCATGGTCTTCCTAAGGAATGAGGTTACACTTTTCAGCTTTTTAAAGGAGGGGAAATAAAATAGACCAAAAATTCGACTTTTATTATTTAAAAAGGTTCCCTTTTTTCGGGGAACCGTGGTCCCCCAGATCCGCCTTCGAGTAAACAAATTTGGATCAAGGAATCACAAAACTGCTATTAATGGAAACGGAAAAATGACAGGAAAAAAGACAAGCAGATACAAATTTTTGGGCAGCACTTTCTTGCGAATTATTTCAACCGTCACGCGTCAACATCGGTAAAACCAGACATGTTTTTCATCCACGTGCATAATCCGACACACTTTTCCCAACAGGGACGCCGAGGATAAACACCCATGTTCCGTGTCCATGTGCGTCTATAGTCTCGCATTTTTGGGGGGCTGGCTGTTTACAGCGTACCTTCAGCTCACGCACGCAACTTAACTCCTCAAATTGGACCCGTATGAATTGAGCAGTGTCGTCTATTTGGCTTAAAGGGAGGTACTCGAGACAACGGTCACGCTGAGCTTCTTGCACTTTTACGGAAAGAGGGATTTCTGAAGGAGCCATTTGCTGTCAGCGTCCTCTCAGGGGAGAACAGGTAGGCTCTTTTTTCGTTTTGTTTGTGCTGTTAGTACAATAAATGTTTTTGTTTTTTACGTTTGACAAAGAGCAAACAACATATTAATTTATATAACGGGTTTTGCCCTTACCGAACGTATACATTGATAAACACTGTATGCTCAGTGCTTGCCCGAGAGCTTTCGAAACAATTCTGACCCCGGCAAGCTCGGTGGTCGAGTGGTTAAGACGTCCGCACTAGTAAGCAGGGGGTCGTGGGTTCGAGTTCCACCCGAGTAAGATTGGGAATTTTTTCGCAAGCTCTCGGACAAGCACTGAGCATACACTGTTTATTAATATACACGTTGGGTAAGGGCAAAACCCGTTATATAAATTAACATCTCCCCAACGCCAAAAAAAATACATCTTGAAAACAATATATTGTAGTAAATTACTTTGAGAAGCAACACTGCTAGGAGTCTGTGCTTGCTTCTTTTGTGGGCTAAATGGTTCTATTGCAAGACGAGTTATACTCATGTTTGATTGCCCAAATCTGCTTGTTCTCCTCGATCAAAATATTGATATAAAAATAAAAATTGATATTGATGAAACTCAGCAGTGAAAAAAAAATCTGCCAGGACTGGACGGATGAAATCTGTCTACCCATGTTCCCTCTCCGGTAGTGTAAAGGGTGTGGTTTTTAGTACTCCATATCAATACCACTGCACTCCCAACCCAGATTTATGGATTAAGGAGGGATTCGCCTTGATGTTTTCATCATCACACATTCAGTAGGCCACACCACACGGTTATGAGCTGTTTTGTCGATCGCCTACACGCGTTTTGATAGCAGTTTCGTAAAATTTGGATCTATATAGCATCGTTGCCCGAAATGTCAGAGTTTCGATTGCAAGATCGCTTTAAAATGATGCTGCATTTCCTTTTTAAGCTATTGATTGTGGTCGCTCCAACGTGCATGTTATTACCTCGACGGCAGCATTGTAACTTTCCTGCTTGAGGAAAGGTTTTTTTTTTGACGAATCCACCTGAGCGATTTATTGCTGAAAGAGGCACATTACTCCAAAGTAAATTTACGGACTGTTCTTGGCCAGGGAAAACTGTGCTTTATGGGAAGAAAGGGCACCTGTTCATATTTGTTCTGTAGATGGACTCCCGCGAGCACGTTGTTTGGGAACTCTGAAACGCCTTGTAGTCCATGGATTTTGTGCCAGACAAATTTTACACAATCTTCGCTTTGACGGTCGAAAACAGTCAAAGCACCCTACTTTTTTCATATTTTTCTCACAGCAGTGAACTCAAAACATGAAATAAGTCAATTGAACCTTCGGATACTTCCAATTACCAAAATGTGGAAAAATTTTGTCAGTTTCCTGTAAAATGCCAATGGTGTATTCTTACCTTTGAACACAAGCTACACTTGCATTATGTGTTTCGAATACATCTATTTGCATACCAAGTTTAATTGACATCAGGTAACTGCACAGCACAGCACATCCCCGTGGGGAGCAGAGTGCGGAGTGCAGGTTGAGCCTCGACAGGGTTCAAAGCCTCGGCACTGCCATATTGATCGACCTTAAAATCCCTGACCTTCTCTTTAAGAAGCCAATATTATTGCCCTGACAATGTTACAGTGCCGTGCGTGCGTCGTGATTCGCGTCTTTCGGGTAAGAGGCTGTGTGGATTCTTGAGGTCTGCTGTTACTGTTCAGAATCACATCTCAGTGACCCCTTCTCCCCATTTGGCTTTGTGAATAGGAAATAAAATCCGGGGGGGCTCACGAGTTTGCGCTACTCTAATCGCAAACATTGCCCAGTGGGTGTAGGTGTTTTTCACCGCATGCCAGAGCTGCATAGAGAGTTGTGCCAACTTCCGACTTTGGAACCAAAATGGCTGTTCATTGTGTGTGCAGTACAGCATGCGGCTAAATCGTGTGCCAATGGCCCATGTGCACTGACGTACAATCCACGATTTGGGTTCCAACAGTTGAGACTCTCATGTCGCACCTCTCTCTACTCAAACAGCTCTTACCTCATGCATGCCTTGGGCACAATCGATCGATTACGTTTACTTTCCAGAAATACTTGAAAGCCCGGAAACAACTTACATGGAGTTTCACCTTATCCAATCTAAGCGATTCCCCTTGAGCTGCTGAACCTTGAGCCGTATGCTTCTAATATGAAATCGAATACTGTGTCAACAAAACATGACAAATTATCTGTAATCCATGCCAATTCATAAGTGCACGGAGCCTGTTCGTTTTCCACTTCATTCGGTAGAGCGCGCCGCCTGACGTAGTGTAGGCCTACATTTCAGGCCTAAACGCGTATACATTTAACCACGATAGGTGATGTTTATAGCTATACCAAGGGTCAGATGGCCCGCAGCGGGTTTAACAGATCGGACGAGGGTGGCCACTTCTTAATTTCATGAAATTTTCATCGGATTTTAGGTGCTCTTCTGTTGCCGCGGGGCACTGGCGGGATGAGCAGCGCCAGTGCCGTCGCCAGGAGACCGGGCAACAGA